GTAACAATGCCCTAAGAAAGCAGGCTATGAGAGGTGGGCTGGATAATTCCCAGAATGTTGCTTTATTTGCAGATACTATTTTCTTAGCTTCTTCACAGAAGAGTTCCAAGAAAAAGATCCCATGACCAAGACTGTAGTCAAACTACATTACTTTAATTCAAGTAAACTCTATGATACACTTTGAGGCACGTAAAAGCACAAAACCAGGCTAAGTGAACTGTGGACTATCATCAGATGCTTGAAGGCCACCTCTACAAGGTTTTATGTTGGTAAAGCCTAAACAGTTTCACTAGATTAGAAATATATGAGTGATATCTGAGCTATTTCAATTTGATCAGTGCTGACTTACAGGTTCTAAAGGTTAGCCAAAACTTTTACATAAGATTTTACTTCTCAGGGAGCAGTTGGATTGTTTAAACAGAGTTCCCAGAGAGACACAAACAGAAGCACTCTCCAAATACCTACGTTTGAAACAAAATGTCCTTGCACAGTAAAAACCTGAAGAGTTCAAAAAGAAAGCAATGTTATTTTTGAAAGACAAGCTATCTTGCCTAAACTGCTCCAGTCCCCCACTGGAGAATTGTGCAGTCCTTGGGAAGATCTACATCCAATAATTCTGTTATTTTGCTTTCTGAGAAGAGTCTCCAAAACTCTGTTTGCTTGTGCAAACCTTTGAATTCAATCAGCTCGATACCCTCTTGCCCTTACTGCTTCTGTCAAAAGGGGTAAAGGAGTGAGGAAAAGGCTTGGAAGCAGTCAGTTTGTTATAAGTTAAGCAATAAAAACCGGGCTGCAAAGCTGCAATAAAGAAATAGTTTATTACAAAAGCAATAAAACAAGCAAAAAAGGAACAGTGCACCGGGCTGTTTTTGCACTGTGGCAAAAACCAGCAGCTACTACAAGTTTTGGGTCCCCTTTTTATGTCCCTTTGGCTCCGTATTTCGCAATCCGAAGTCCGGTCTCACGCATGCGTAGGTCCCAGGAGGTGTCTTGCTTAGATGATCCTATCTGT